GTTTTTCTTTTCCCAATAACATTAATAATTTAAGTCTGTAATATAAGGTCGTTTCTGTAGTTGTTTAGCAGTGAGGGTATTTATTAAAAAAAGTAAACATTAAGATTGCAAGCAATCTTACGGAGGCCTCATAGGTGAATTTATGTTTGAAGGTCAAATCTAAGGTAGTTTTGGAAATCCTAAAGAGGTCCTGTAGGTGAATTTGACAATTTGATAGTCATTCAAAGGTCACATCTTTAGGGTCATTTTGGAACTCCTGGCAACTTGTAGATGATGTTAAAAAAGGTTTGTTCAATTTGAAAATAAAGCTTTTTTGAAAAATCAGCTTTTTACTTTTCGAAGGTCACTGAAAGTCACTTTTCAAATCTAAGATTTAAAGTCCTGAGACTTAGTAGATGATTTCTGAAAATAGATTTGATCAATTTGAAGAAAAATATGGTAATATTGATAGGAGGCCTCTGCCGAGCCTCCTTATAACAGTTAGTGATACTTGTCCACACAATCTTGAGATAAACATTAGGTGAATCCCCAACCATAACTTTGTCACACACATAAATGCTATCAAGATTAGATTTGCTTGAAAATTTCAATTATCCACCTTGTCTCTGCATCAGTCTTGTATTTCAATTGCTACTTGATATGACTGGAATGACATGGCTGGGAACACATATTACAAGGTGTGGATTCTTAACATTTTGTGATGAATTATTGACCACTTATCAGGGCCAATATGGGAGTGATAATTATAAGTTGATAAAATATAAATTGGAAAGTGATTCCCCTGCTTCAAGTCTTGGTAATTGAACAGTATTGATTTGTACTATACGAGTCTGAGGTAATTATTCGAATAGTCTTTACAAAAGCTGGAGCATTTATAGACCTGGCTCAGTCAGTGTCTCGGCTTCACCATATAAGGTAGGATATGTTTCTTATGTCATTTACTCATCGCCCGATATCAACTAATCAGGATATTTTTCCCTAGCAGGTCAGATGGGCGATAAGATTTGCTTCAAGGTATGCATATTATTGACATTTATTTTTAATGTCTGTTTTAGGAGCTGATAAAATTAATTGTATGAATTGTTGTTGACTTGCGTTATAGTGAGATAATACTTTAACATGGAGCAAACATTTTTGTCATGAAATATAGAATAAGTCTAGATAATGTCATGCACTTACAATTTTGGTTTGGTGGTTACTATTATTGTGATCTATTCAATGCAAAATACGTAAAAAATAGGTCCTTTTAGGAAGTTGAGTACATCGGTGCTATAGAAAGTTCAATTCTAAGACTAAATGAATCACTTAAATCATTTATTTCAAAAATGTAATTCATCCATTTAAATTCATGAAATTAACATTGAAAATGTTTACAGGTTTTTTTAACCTTCTAAACAAGTGGGCTTTATAAAATATAATGGTAGTAGGATTGTGTAGACAGGGCTTACATTTGTTTAAGGGTGTATACTGTAGAAATTTAGATTTATTGAATCAAGATTTTAGCTTTTTTTCATCAACAAAGAATCTTTGTGTTAAATTTATTTAAGTTGAAACTGATCAAGCAAAGTTGTATCGCATTGAAGATCCAGTCTGAGTACACAGTGTAAACATTTTACATTAAATAAACCTAACATGCAGGTTGAGAAATCTTTTTGTTAAACGCTGAAACTGAACAACACTGTAATATGAAAATAGATTTATGGGTTTTCCTTTATGCTGATTACCATATTGCCAGATGGTTCATGTTGTTATATTCACACATGTCAAGATTTCATTTACATGTTTTCATTCTATTGTTTTCCTAATAGTTTTAATCTTCAATTGTCAACATCTGTCATCCTAAAATCAATATTATTCTGTTATTTCAAAAAGGCTTATTTAGGTGATTGTCAATTTCTACTAAAATTTTATATTTACTGCATTATACCAATTCTTTTTTGATTTATGAAAATAATTGAAATCAATATTTTTCAATGGTGGATTTTATTTTTTATATGTTTGATTGATATTTTCTGATATTCAGCTTTAATCGAAAATATCATATTCAAAATTTTTCTTTAATATTTATTTAAACTAGCCTATGCTTTTAATTATTTTTTCAATAAAATTGTTTGAATATAGTTATATTTGAAACATTTTTATTGCTTATTCATTTTGTTTTATAACAATTTCAAAATGTTAGTATTTTTCATTTGTATGAATGAAATGTTCAGTTGATTTGCCTGTACTGTACTCTATACATGTTTATGTCATTTCTTATTTGCAGAGAATTGCAGATTGGAAACTGGTGCCGTGATCTTCTGACATTTTTTTCAATTTTTCAATTCCATTTTGAATCTTGTAGCAAAAATTCTAATATTTTTCTCCTCGATAGTTAATTAACAATTAGATGATCTTGTCCAATAGGTGTCTCTGTGTTTTTTGTCATTGGAATGCATGGATCTTCATGCATTATATTTTGCCAGAACTTTTTTCATTTTTGGTGCCTCATTATGTATGTTAATGATATTATTTTAGAATTAGGATTTAATGTATTTTGTCAAAGACTTTTAATCAATGCTGTTATCTGAAGTGGTTTGAAGGAAGATCCATTGAAAGGTTTCATGCATATTCATATTCTCTGACCTTCAAATCACTTTGGTTTACATTTAGTGGTGTGTATTTGATAAATAATCACAAGTTATATCTATAATTGTATCACAATCATCATTATTCAATGTCTAGTTTTATTCTTTACTTTATACAACTCTATTTGCAGTTTTTGGTGGACGTTTTGTTTATTTTGATTATCACAAAATGATAGTTGTAGATACAATTACATTTATAGCTAAATCTCCTATTATAATATTACATGTTGCATCAATGTAATTATATATGTGCTTTGAATATATTTTCCTTTTATATGATTACATCATTTTAGGGATGCAATGGTCTGTTCAGCTTTTAAATCATGTTCAGTGATATTTCCTGAAGCTATTTTTCTATTAGTTGATTCGATGAAATTATTTTTACCTAAGAGCATTTGTAACTCTCATTTGACACTTCCATGCATAGCAAATGCCTGTTAAAAGCTCTGGACTTATTTATAGTCACTACAAGTATACCTCTCTTCTTTTATATTGAAAAGCTTTACTTCCTAAAATTCATTACTGATTTCCTTTATACATTTGTATATTTAATTTTCAATTATGCCAAAATTCTCATTTATAGTTTATTTTGTGATTATTTTGAATAGAATTATATGTAGTATATAAAGATTAGCTGGACAGACCAAAGGTAGTACACACAGATCTTCAGTTACTGAACAATCAGTGATCATTGTATCATCAATCAGTCAGCTTAGTCAATCAGTCAAACAGTAAATATTTGGCCCATCTCCAATCAACCGTAACACTCCCATTTATATGAATCTCAACAAGACATTTAGCATTGACATGTGATCTAATATTCACTCCTGGTAATGACTCTAAGGCATAATAACAATGCAACGTTTAACACATAATTCTTTGCTGAATTCCCACTGTACTTCTAGGAGAAATGGAGTGTCAGCCCAAAAGTACTCTTCAATAATTGACTTGCCAACTTGAATTAAATGTCAATTTTACTATTGAAGCGAGAAAAATGAAATTGTTCAAGAACAATAGGTGAAGAAATGTTGCTTCTGCTGCTCAATTAAGAATGAAAGTTCTAACAGCCTCATAGTCAGAATCAGGACAACAGCTGATATGCCTATAAAAAATAATATTATTCAGAATGATTAAATTTTTCATGAGTATTATTCATTTACTGGACTACCCTCTATTTAGAATTCCTGGATTGTTCATTGTAATCTCTGGATTTCTATCCATTTAGTTGATAAATGAATCATAAAAATGCAGTGCTTTTCCTTCCTCCTATAAATTACACCGAACTAAGTTTATCTGTAAGTAGGAAAATCATTTCAATTATGAGTCCAAATCAGTGGATTATTAAACTGCCATAACTGTAAGATCTATTTGATACCAGAACAAAATCTGAACAAAAAAAGATCGATAAATCTACACTTTGTCATGTCATTATGGAATTATACACAATCTATGAATGCTTTCCCTCTTCAAAAAGTTCAATAAAACTGAATTAGATTCCGGAATAAGGAATTGAATACAAATATAGCCTGGAGAAATACGGAATTGACCTAAGTGCCCCACATTGAGAAAACAAAGCCAGAACAGTAGGCATTATTTCTTGAGATTCAGAACATAAAAAAAATTCAATATTCAATAATTTGCTTGGAGAATGAGTTTCTAGAAAATAAATCATCATGCCTAATTCCTATGCAAGATATATCCATATGTCACATTAGCGAGAACTGGATTGGAATATATTGATTTACAACCCCTATGTGTAAACCGACCCCCTGTATCTCAGCTCAATGTTGCGTGATCTGAAGAGTCTTTTTAAGCATGTTTCTATCAAGTTAAATACAGAAAGTCATTAAAAAAATTCAATATGTATCAGGCAAGGCGATTCTTTCTACTTTAATCTGGACATTGTAAAACAGATAGAAAACAGAGATTATAAAATCAATAGGATGAGCACTCTCGAGGTTTTAGTCTAATTGGCTTTGTGCAACTAAGCCCTAGAAAGAAGATAAAAATAACATTTCTAATACATGTAATTGTTATATATAATTGACTGATTGATGATACATGAGATTAGAATGCTATCTACTAAACCTGCCATCTTCAAATTATGATTATATCTTGAATATTATGTACAATATATACATTTTTGATTTCTATTTGATTGGAATAAAATAATTTTGTGTTTATATTTGATGATAATGATTAATTTGAAGATGATAGTGTAAATGTTAGATGGTGTCCATAAGTCTATGGTCTGAATGTCTATGCTATATGTTTACATCTGGTGCGCCACACATTAATGTTTTAAACGGCAGTCTGCATAATGCTGCCAAGCTACTGATTTTTACCAATTATTTACTGTACTTTTTTAAACAGCACCCTCTATAACAAAGGATCTAGGTATAATCAACCATGAACAAGGGTCAGTTTCATTCTTTCATTTTAGTTCTGTCTTTTAATGATATAAATCCGCTACATTCATATGAGCAAAATGTGGCATGCAAACAGCTCTTTGAAGTATCTGATTTTTATCACATCTCTTTCTGAATTATGACCTAATGAAACTTAGTCTAGAGGGATTGACCAAAATTCAAAAAGGTTTCATTTTTTCATAGATACTTAATCTTGTCTATCTCTTGTCTTTTCGAAACATGTCAAAACCAGTAGTACAATTCATAATGTCTACTATGTTAGAGTACTGGTTATGACATTCATCAACTCTGCTTTCCCGTTTTGTATCATTTTTCCTAACCAAAATTATTAATTTTATCTCTTCATTTTTCATTTTGATTTATGATAATGGCAGTATTGATATAATTGATGATTCCAATTAGAAAATGATACAAAGGTTTAACTTGCTGTTGTTTCTTTCTGCAAACTTAATCTTTCATCTTGCAAGCTACTCTATATAATATCTTGCCTATCTAACTTATTTGTTAGCCATCTGTGTGTTTTCTTGAATATGTCTTTTTTCATCAGCCCCTTCAGAGTTCAAACGTTCAACCAACCAAGATTCCCAGGTCTAAAAAAGCTGTTTAATTAACAATTAAAGTTGCCAGCTGCTGTTGCGCTATAAGAAAAGGCGCATCATTTCCTGACTTTTGGAAACTAATACAAAGCCCTGATTAAATAAGCTACATTATGGTTTCTAGTAATAACAGGCTAGGACATAGAAAAAAACAGATAATTTGAATTGCTAATTTTACTAATGAAGATATATCTGTTTCTCTTTGTATTTTTCTAATCCTATTTTGTGAATCATTCGTGAGCTCTTGAACAGAATTAATCAAAGACATGAAATGGCTAGCAGATTGGTTATTATCCATCCATGTTATAAATACAATGTTTTATTGTAGTTAATAACAGTGGTAGTTGTAGTTTTATGTTGCTTATGCTGGATGTTTAACAATTGTAACCTGAGTTCTGATTAATCTGAGAAAGCATTGTGCCATATAATGAATGAAAATCTGGTCAAAGGAATAAAAAACATCATGTATATATTTTCTTTAAACCATGCATCATATTCACTTCATCCTGTATCATCCAAAATGTTTACTTTTACCTATAACTCAAGTCAAGTGATCATCAAATATCATTATATATAATACACATATATGGAATTCAATTTGGAGAGAGGCTTATGTTGAAAGGATTCTCAGAAACCATCAGATTGTTTTTGTACCAATTTAGTTTTCTATACAGTAAAACATTTGTTAGCGTACTGATTCCCAAAGCTCATTGGTTAGAACATTATACTTGTTTTTATTAGATTTATCTTCAGTTTAGCACTCACTCTCACACTATCAGTTCTTCATCCTTAAATCAGAGAATTATACCGAATTGTTTTCGCAATCAGTCGGAGAGTAGCTGATGATCATACGCTAATATGTAATAATTCAAACTAATCATTCAAATCAATCAGTCAATGTTGACATCATTGGAAAGCACCACCAATAAAAAACAGGCACTGATTGACTAAGTACATGTATTGGTTCAGAACAATCACTTGTTTAAAGTTGAGCATACTCTTCAAATGATAATCTACCTAAGGTAACCTCTGTATACTCAGGTTCTACTGTACTGGGTATTGTGCAGTAAATACTTAATCACAATTATCAATTAAAGCTTATTTAGGTTTTATTTAGGACTTTTGCTTTGAATGTGCCTTATATCCTTATAACACAGCTTAGTTAATATCTGTCCAGGCATTTGTGACTCCTGTATTCAGTTTTTCTAAAGCCTTCTTCAAGATTACCATATTTTTAGTTATGCACAGAACATATCCATTAATTTATTGTTAATTGATGATGCAATTGTAGGTTAAAAAAATTATTTTACATTTTGTCGTTGATTTCATATGAAGCAGAATATAATATCATTTGTTCATAGTGAAAAGTATGGAATCTTGAATTAGGGATAGGAATCTTTTTCTTTATTGCTTAATTTCAGTTATTTGTTGTTTCACTGTTTTTATCATTTATATATCAACGCCATTTTAAGAATGGTATTAAAACTAACTGTATGTAAGTAACACTTTTGTATGTATTGTCTTAACAATTACTCAGTTTATAGTTCTAGTTGAAATAATAGTATAATTTAACTACTGCATGATAATTGGTTGAAAGGAATCTTTCCTGTTCTATGTACGTACATCTTTGCGTGATAATCACAAATCTATTATTCTATCATTGAATTATTACTTGTAAATAATAGAACAATGATTTGGTCTACACATGCTTTATATAATTTACTTTCTATGTAACATTCTATTTGATGTCAACCATGTTTTGGGAGGATGGGTAGGATCCTTCAAGAAATGTAATAATTTTTCATTTAAAGAAGTAAATATACGAAGGAGAACATGTTTGCGAATGTGAAATGGTGATCAGTCAACTTATGATAATAAATCAGTTCAGAGTTGAATAATTCATTCATTGGATGCAGCTATTTATCAAATTGTGACCATAGTTCGTTATGATTAATGATAAAAATACATTGACCCAATAATATAATACCTTAATAAAATCCTGTGTTTTTTTGTTCTATTGTACCATTTTCATGGAAAGATTAGAACCGTATTTACGTTCATGTGTTAAATGGTTTGTATTACACATATCACATGGAATTGTTTTGCGGCATTGTAATGTAGAGCTTAATATGATTCTAAAAAGTTTGCTTATCCTTAAGAAACCCATTTTCCTTTGTAATATGCCTAATATTGAAGATAAAATGCCAATAAATCTTTGAAACACTCCATTCAATTTTCATTTCTTCTTGAAACAAGAAGCAAAGGCTGGAAGATGTTAATAACATCTTGATCAAATTATCCAAGTTGCAGAGCTTATTCTCCGGCAGTTCAAGAGTAAAGAGGGACTTATCATATTAATCGGGGAAATTCCCTTTAATACCTTGGACTAATTTTTATTTGTATAGTAAATATTCAGGTAATCCCAAAAAAGGAAGGAAGAACTAAGTCAAATCACTGTGCAATAAATGTTATAAAACCTCCCCTCTTTTGAAGTCTGAGACATTATACTTTATCAGATTAAATCTAAAACATCATATGACAGGATACCAAGTTTGAAACTTGCACAATCATAATATTTGGGATTTCAGACCAAGGAAGATTATTACTATCTTTTATTTATTTATCTTAAATCCTCCCCATGGTCAGTGGTCATGATCAATTTATGGTCCAAATAAAGTAACATAAACAAATATGGTAGAAGTGGAAATATAGAAATAGAATCAATGAATCGCATATCAAGTTTGACTTGAGCTAGCTTAAGAGAATGAACATGTCATAAAAGTTGATTAAATCATTTTGACATGGATTAAGATTCCCTTCTATTATTTATCTTTAATCAGAAATGTCATTTAATTCAATTATATTTGCAAAGACAGTGCTCAGAAGTAATTATGAAAGCAATTCTGTTTACAAGAAACTTGGCCTTTTAGTTGCTTGAAATATATTCTTTTAATAGTGAATTTTCAAGGAGGCTTGGTAGATTTTGTTGACCATAAAAAGTGTTTTTGACCTCTTTTCCTCCGTTCCTTCTATTCTATGGAAGGACAGTAATTTTTCAACTCAAAATATATTCTATCTTGAGAATTGAAGTTCATTTTGAGACGTTTCAATGCAAATTCATGCAGCTTATTTTGAATTAATAGGTATTTACCATAGAGATGGACATTTATAGAACAACAATTTATCATTTTTTTTCTCATCAGAAACCCTGGCAATATCTTCAGTATAGAAGCAGTTAACTGAATATCTCCATGAATTATTCTGATATGCCATTTACTCTCACCTGGGACTCATAATAGGTTTATCTTGCCTCATCCAGCTCCTGTGTTCTCTTATAAAGGACGTATCTCACAATTAAACACGTCCCTTGGTTAAAATAAAACATTCTTATGGTCGCTGTGGAAATGAGCAACAGTGTAGGACAGATCAATTTACATGTTTTAGTGAATGATAAGAAATAACAGAAAATTCCAAATAGAATCGGTTAAAAGGATGTATTGAGTAGGTATCCTGTTTAATGCATTTCATTATTACAAATGAAATATTGACTGATGAGTCGAAATGGAATATATTAGAATTTAAGCTATCCTGGGATGATATTTGTCCCATTAGCTCTTATCTGGTTTAATAATTCACATTGCAATTTAGAGGCGTATATCTTTAGAATTCTTTTCGTGTGAAAACCCATTTCCAGCCTTTGAGAAAGTTGAGCTAAAACATCATTACAAGCCATTAATTGATTAAACATTCCAATTCAGTAAAAAGCTATATACATCAGATGTTCAAACATTACAATTATATAAAGTCAGTAGTTAGAATGGAAATCAATAAAGCATCAGTTAATTCAAGTCCATCAATTCATTGAGGTCAATTCCCTTGAAGTCGGAAATTGAGTTCAAAAGAGATGGAAGTCCATTAATTTGTTTCTCTGGATAATTACTACTGACCAAGTGGATGAATACTGTCCTCTTCATGTAAAAGCATTGGATTAGATTTATGTTCCAATTTCGTGATTGGAGCACCTAATTTACCATATACGGAGATGTGCAATATCCTGATAATTTTTTCATTTTCTTTATTTTTATAGACTTTATTAATTTATTCGCCAACTAAAGCACTATTTTGTGTTCCTTATAAAGCATGTGTAAAATAGACCAATTTCCGTGTATGAAAAATGGATTCCAAAAAAACGAAATGCTAAATGTGCACTTAGAGCAGACAAGATTCATATTCCTTTCAATGTTTTCATTTATGAATGATTATAATTTATAAATCACCGTATATGTAGATTAAATTACTAATTCAAGTATTGTGATTTCGAAATGGCCCCTAGAAATGTGTCAAAGCTTTCAGAAATGTTCTTACAAAATTCCTTTTCATCCTACAATAGAGTGTTGCCATGTCAACATATATATGACATTTAATCTTGTATTTATTAGACAAAAGAAAAACACCTGATAAACACCTTTGCCTCTCCAGAGAGGTGTTCACTAAAGCTGGTTTAATTTTATACAAAACATACGTTTCTTGACAAATTACTGCTGCCGGAATAAGAATGAACAGATCTTACATAAATTGATTGGCAATTTGAAAGCTTTGACATATTTAGTTTGGGATTCTATGATTCAACTAAATGCATGTTTTGGTAGATGTTTTATTACTGTTCACCATGTAATATTGTAGACCTCAAGGGTGTATGGTTTGTATTCCTTTAATATTAATATCTGCTTTCAATATCTATTTCTTTTAAATCTTATGTTAAAATCAGACTTACTATTAGCACAGTCCTTAAAAGTCATGTAATCACAACATACAATATTGTACATTTATGTCCTATATATTCTTTCCATTAGAATATTTTTTAAACTTAAATTTTTTATTTTTGTTGATATCGTTATCTTTTTTTCTCAGATGCTTTTTTAGCTACTGTACATATTAGAGCATTGAAGCGAATTACTAGGTTTGCTTTAGACAAACAGCTTTCTTTAAGTGTTTAACATGGTCAGTTTGGAGATTTTGGTGCATTCCTGATATTTTCTGTTCTGTTTTGTTTGTCCCTTTTTCCCCTGTATGCCCTACAAATGTATGATATTCTGCTCTTTATGTTCACATTGTCTAATACTGTTCCTAGGCATACTAATCCAGTTAGAACCAAATAGTGACTTTGAGCAAGACATACTAAAAGACATCCAAGACACCAACCTTGATAGAGAATACAAAAGCGAGTGGACTCCTAAGATTGTACAGATAGTTCAGAATGAAAAACTTGCCCAGGAATTTCAAGGTATGCACATTAGCTAAAAGAGAACAATTTTGTTCCTGTCTGCGGAATCTAAGGCTCTTGGATTGGAACATGGAACAAAAATTTAACATTAAGGTTCAGTTCTAGAACAAGATAATCTCAAAGATTTTGTTCTAATCTGCATAAATCACCACAGAACAGCAATTTTCTTTCACTTTTTAGCACCAAAATAAGTACATTTTTCACTCCTTCTCATTGGAGAGTTTTTAGGAACTTTTTGCTATCAGAAAGACCTAGATATAAATCAACTTAATATTAATCTAATACATGCAGTCACTCATTCTAAACCATGCTGAAATTGCCAATGCCAATTGTTCTAAACTGAACTGTTTCTATTTTTTGCTCCATTACACTTCTAATAACTTTCGAAAGCAAAACCCAGCCAACTGGGTTATTCCTCTGGGGGCCATTAACAGAAACTTCCTAAAGTTAGGAATTCCTAAACTCAATTGTTTTCTAACTGTGATGTCATTATATCCATGGTAACAACAATTGATTTACGAATTCGTAACTTTACGAAGTTTCTGTTACTGTCCACCTGGATGATAACATGGAAGATCAGTACAATTTAACAATTTCTTTGGACAGTGCATCTGACATTAGAGTAACGCCAGTTTTGACTGATACTCCCAGAAGTATTCGTGTCATTGCAGATTTATATTGAGCATTGATTTCTCAGATTTGGTGCTTCACAAATTGGAAAATCCAAGTAAATTACAAAGACTGTCAAGTCTAATAGAATTGATTTAAAAACCTATGATTGGAATTGAGTGGTGTTTAAAGAAGATTCACTCGTATCAAATTGATAAATGATGATATTGTATTGAACACTGATAACTGTCAAATGATTTTATATAAAACAATGAAGCTTTATATCCTTCAGTATCTGTCCTATCAATTCCCAATTGATCACAAATCATCGGCTCAATATAGCAATTAACCTGATAAGAAGTAGCGCAATCATCATTACTTCTTAATAAGGAGAAATCATTATTTCATAATCAATGCATGGAGCATGGCTTATTGTATTTCAGATGTCAAAGAGCACTTCACAAGGCTTGGATACAATGAGGCTGAGATGGAGGAGCATTATGGATTTGTATGTGAGAATGACAATGGAGCCCTTGTTAACATTACAACCAATGGGCTGATGACACAAGATTCTGTACACAATGTACTTGGCTACAATTCACTTGGGGTCTATGTGTGTAAACATGCCGATGTGTGTATACAGGAGGCGTTGGAGAAGCCAGGGGGCAGGGATCAGCAAACATTAAGGATGGCAGTATTTAAGGTACTAATGAATGCAGAAAAGGGATAGAATAGGGAAAGTTCTCAATTGATACAGATGGATAGCTGAAATTTTGTCTGTCATTTTTTCTAACTTTATTTACTTGTTTCAGTGATAGCTGATCCATCTTTTTTCCACTCAGTTTTCTGGAAAAGGTTCTATCGACACTTTTTATTAGTTACTACATATAATCATTAAAGGTTCATTAAACCAATTAGAAATACTTGATAAATTTAGAAATAAAGTGACTTTTTCCATATAAGGGAATAAAATACTAGCCTGACCAGTGACCAAGACTACTATTGCCATCTATTCCTCCTCTATATAGCAATATATATTGTTGTAGCGAATAACCTTAACAATTAATACAACAAACACAATGAAACGTATATTGATTATAGTTCATACTATTTAATGAATATCTTGCTCTTCTGTTATATTAGACCACATATACATTTGCAAAAGACTCATCGACAGCAACTGTGAGTCTTAATCCCGATTTTGAATGTACAGTTACAATATGGGAAATTGACATAAAATAATAGATGGATTGTGTTTAATCGAATCTGTTTTATCTCTGCTTAGGTGAGGAAATGTTAGTGACAGAGATTGGTCTATAATGATACAAAACGGGCACAAAAGTGATGGATTTCTATTAAATGAACTTGTTAATTCGTATGTTTCAGTTCATGTATGGTAAAAGAACGACTGCTGTGCCAAGAGTGAGTAACGCGACAGAGTTCATCAGGCCCACACCTAACTTTGATTGTCACATCTCTGCACTCCCATCATTCCCACATGATACTCTTCAGGCAAAGGCTGACAAAGCACAGGTAGGTAGTGGTACATGTAGTACTCTTACAAGGGCTTATCACATATGAGCTCCTGTAATGGATCTACTGTAGAACATTTTATGGAACATATTGAACCAGAATTGATTAAATGACAAGACTATTGTTGAAACTTATTGATTTAAATGATAGTTCATAAAAACTCAAAATGCATTTGCATAAGTCATATTGTCGTTACATATACATGTACCAGGTTTATATGTCAATGCTGTGTTTGATTTAGTCATTTTGACTCAATAATGGAATTTCTCTTTCTTAGTGTATTGGTGTTCACAATCATGGATATCCAGAAATGAAATGAATATCTTACATGTAGCCTGGTTATTACCCTCTTCTTTTATGAGATGAACATTCAACATGAGTCAAACCATCATCTTTGGCTTTAAACCCATGTTATTCGATTCACATATCTTTTTTGTAGGTTTATCTGTTTGAGATGGATAGTCAGCGTAAGCCAGTCTGCCATCCTGAGCTTTGGGCCCATGTCATTCAATGCATATATCTTTTCTGTAGGTTTATCTGTTTGAGACGGATACTAGATAGTCAGCGTAAGCCAGTCTGCCATCCTGAGCTTTGGGCCCATGTCATTCAATCTCATATCTTTTCTGTAGGTTTATCTGTTTGAGATGGATAGTCAGCAAAAGCCAGTCTGCCATCCTGAGCTTTGGGCCCATGTAATTCAATGCACATATCTTTACTGTAGGTTTATCTGTTTGAGATGGATAGTCAGCGTAAGCCAGAACGTCATCCTGAGCTTTGGGCCCATGTCATTCAATGCACATATCTTTACTGTAGGTTTATCTGTTTGAGATGGATAGTCAGCGTAAGCCAGTCTGCCATCCTGAGCTTTGGGCCCATGTAATTCACTGCTCATATCTTTTCTGTAGGTTTATCTGTTTGAGATGTATAGTCAGCGTAAGCTAGTACGTAATCCTGAGCTTTAGACCCATGTAATTCAGTGCACATATCTTTTCTGTAGGTTTATCTGTTTGAAATGGATAGTCAGCGTAAGCCAGTACGTCGTCCAAGACTTTGCATGCCATATTGTGTGGTCAGCTTATCCCGCCATTCACAGATAGTCAGTCCTGTGGTTAGTACTCTACCACAAGCCCAACCAATCAATGCACAGCTAGCAGAGAACCCAGCTCTACAGGAGATAGTGAATGCCATCAATGCAAGACCAGGTAAGTAATGTTACATGTTAATAGTATTAGCAAGAGGAAAAAGTCATGTTCAATCCATAAACATCAAACATTTATTTTGCAACTAAAAACACTAAAAACAACTTGCCCAACTTGCATAAACAATAACGTATGAGGCAATAATCTGATACATGATAAAGTATTAGGAATCTGTGAACCACTCAGAATACAAATATATTTTATTTGGTTGTGCAACAACAACTTAACCTGTTTTATCTGTTTCAGAAGCTAAGATAGGTGGGCCATTTGTGAATGCTTCCACACCTCCAGTCTCCCCACTAGCTGTAGGAATTCCAGACCAGGCCCTCCAGTTAGGCACTGTATCTCCCAAACTTGCTGGGGCCCCAGTTAGACCTGGTGTACCTATGCTTGCTAAGCCACCAGGCATGCCCATCATTCCTGGTCAGGTGCTACATCCCCCAGGAGCAGATGGTTTACTAGGCTGCCCTCCTGGTTTACCTCCAATCATGAATGGACATCAACCTGCTCCAGCTGCCACCCCTCCACTCAGACCTCAAGTAGTTTTTCCAGGGGGGCCTAGAGGTATCATGGAAAATCCCAGGCTGAAGCACATAGTGGATCAGATCAATGCTAAGCCATGGGCCAAACCTTGGACAGTTGCTAAGAGAGGTAGTCCACCAATGAAGCCAGATGCAAATGGCCTAGAGATGAGACCTCCAGCCCCAGGGTCCCCATACAGACCTGCCTCTCCACAGGCTTCAATTTTGGGGCAGCCTGGTCATAATGTTGCAGCTGCAGCAGCAGTCAACTACACTGGGCGTAGTCTAACCATCCCAGCCACTACCCAGTCAATCCAACCCTCCTCCCTACAGCAACTCATGCCTGGAATTCCCACTATGACAGGCCTACAGACATTACCAAGTCTACAAGGAATCCCCGGTGTACCCAGTCTACAACAGAGTCTTGCAGGACTCCCCCAGGGTTATGCAGGTATGCAGCAAGTGCCTGGGATACAAGGGATGCAACAGGTTCAGGGTATGCAACCAGGTCTGACAGGAGTCCAGGGCCTAGGTGGTGTACCAACCATCCCAGCCATGCCTGGGGTTCAAGGATTATCAGCAGGTGGTCTAGGCACACTCCAAGGTATCACACCCATGCAAGCTTATTCACAGGCCCAGTCTCTAGGTATGCTCTCGCAGCAAGCACAACAACCTTTCATGAAGTTTATTGACACTCCAGCTGGTCAACCAGCAGTCCAGTCCCAGTTAGACCTCCTGGGTCTCCCCAGTCAGCTTGCCTGTGCCCCCTCCCTCGCCACAAATCCTGGTCTACTTGGGGCACGTCCTCTAGAACTCTCAACCATGTCAACTGCCCTACAGGCGCAAGCCACTCATGATGCAGGCAGGTATGGCAAACGTTCTTTCTATGATATGGACTTTACCCAAGAGATGGCTAAGCGTTTAAGAAAATTCTAGTGGATATTCCAATAAGTAAAACATTTACAATCTGAAGATTTCCAAAATGGATTTGTCTTTATCCATATACGCAACAAGAGACCCAGTCTATAGCAACAGTCCGTGCAATCGCCTGTCCAAGAGAGTTAACCTAAATCAACAGTCAGTGAAATGGTCAGTGCAAGAGACCCAGTCTATAGCAACAGTCGGTGCAATGGCCTGTGTGAAGAAATCCACATGAAAATGCAGTTTGTCTAGTGTTCCAATAATTGAAATACATTTTGATATCATTTCAAATAACAGGGTCTACACATTTTATAGAGAAATCCTTAGAATTAGTTAGTTTAGAGGGTGTCCTCACTGTACATAGGGAAGCTTGTATGTTATATATAACCGGTGTAAATAAGGGATTTGAACTCATGTGGCATACTCTGACCAATCTGGTGGATAACTGAACTTACTTATATGAAGAAATGTAACAAAATTTACATTTGCAAATATTTCCACTGTTAATGTAACATTTAAAAATGTTCTTCTAAATCAATTACAATTTGGTGATTGATTAATGTATGCACAATTTTAGTGTCAGTATTATAATCACTGAGATTCATGGTCAGGTTATGACAAGATATTTAACATGTTTAATGTTGTGTTTTACATTCCAACATTTATTCAAGTTATCATATACTAAGTATATTCCTAGGCTCTCTAGAGACATAGGATTTACCTAGTGGAATATTGAATCTCAATAAGGTATAAGTAATTACAATGCATTTTATCAGTTAACGGATTGATTCAGAAATTACACATTCAATTCCACAATTATCATATTGATGAATTAATCCTATAAAATGATAAATGTTATTCAAAAATTGATTGTGATTGCACTCTGAAATCCATTGCTACTGGGGGAATTGATATTATTGTTAGCACTATTTAATTGTTAATTCGAGTAAAATAGTGTATGATCTCAAATTAAGGTAGTTCTGTATGATAAGAATTTTATGTAATTGTCATGATTGGGATAATATTTTTCACTTCTGAAGGGATATGAATATTCACACATTGTGGTACATAGTACAAAACATGGTTTAATACCAAAATATTTTAATTAAATTGTCGAAATGCCACATCCTCAAAATTTATTTTTAACATTTGTAGAACTACCTTAAGTGTTTAGTGGAAATCTGTGGAAAGTGAGTTGCTGGCAATTAAACACTGATGATAATAAATAGAGGATATCCTATGATTTATGAGTGATATGATTTTTATCCACGAATGGATATGATATCTGCACGAGCGAGCGTAGCGAGAGAGTGCAGATATCAATAACCATGAGTGGATTAAAATCATATCACGAGTAAATCATAGGATGTTCTTTTTATTCCATAGTTAAAGTCATCATCAGAATCGTCGGAAATTAAGTCATTTAATTCGAATTTTCCAAACGATCCGGCGATGTTGACACTTAGCCTCGTTTTGAGTCTGAAGTAGCAAAAATCCATAAACCATCGCATACGACGTCGTATGTCATGGCTAAAAAATCGTATGCTATGGTTAAGTGAAAGTTTGTCAAAAATATCATATTTTACCACTGATTACAAAAATACCGTTTTTATTTTCACATGTTATCCTATGAATATCATGCTAACTATGGAATAACAGTTATAACGCAATACAGTACAAAATTTTCATCTGTTATTGAGAAAAAAAACAGTTTCATAAGTTATGTGTAAAATAAAATATGTCTCTAGATTTACACAATTGTAACTAAGTCATAAGATGTTTTTATTCAGCCACAGAAAGGGCTTATAATTTTCCGATATATAACTATTGTGGTCACTTGAAAATATGAGTTGCTTGCCATTTTGTATTGCCAGATATGTTATCCAACTCCACTGGGAGCATGTACTTTGTGTCAATGCTTAATACATAGGCCTACAGAATATAAAATAATATGTTTTCAATGCAAATTGAAAATGACTGTCCCATAGGGTTTTCTCAAGGGCTTTGTATTATTTACTGCCAGGGACAGTTCAGAGAAGGTATCTTCTCTGTAATTTTTTACTTTGCTTGATAATTTGTATATAAACACTCTATAATGCCCTTGGAAAACGGATCTCTATAAATAATGGATTTTCATTATTAAAAATGCCAAATTATAAGCAGTATATGTATATCAGTTTAGTTTGTGTTACAGTGTAATCATAAGTCAGTGCAATGTTGACAAGTAATGATATTCATGCATCAAATAGCACAAAATGAGATTTATTCATTGACATTAACCTACTACTAGTTCTATACTAACATAATTTATTTTGTAAAATGTAATTGTTAATATGTTATTATGGAACAGCTGTACTTTATTGAAACTGTGCATCAAGATTGCAGCAGCAAACATTGATTATAATTCATCAAGCTTGTGTTCACAAGCATAAACTTTTGTTACAAGCACAGACTTGAGCATTATAAAAGCAAATCCAGTTCATGCACAGAGCTGCTGTCTTACACTATTATGTAATGTATAAATATTAAATAATATGTAAATAGTTTGTCATTATTGGGTCATGTTTCAATCCAATTTAAGAAGTAATCGTGGATGTGACAGAACCTCCAATGATTCAATCAATGCATGTGAGTAGTGTAAAACATGGTAATAATGACCCAGAGTAAAAATGTAAACTAACATTTTTGTTGTATTTATTTGTTATTTATGTGCAAATGATCTGATATATTTTTGGACAGACTACGTTTCTGAATGTTTTTGTCATAATTTATTAAGTATGTTATGTTAGTTACATACAAACCACAGTAATCTCATTTGTGTTATTTATTACATACATATGTCTAATTATGTATCAGTTTTCTTGTATTACTTGCATAACATTGAGACACCAATTAAAGGGGTTATTTATTGTACATTTTGTACATGAGTTTGTGTCAATGCAACAAGGAGCAAAACCAAGTCAGAAAACCCAAATTTCACAACCTACATTCACAAGTTAAGAGAGGTGAAGGCAAAAACTATATATTATACAGTGAAGTACATACATTGAATGTTATGGCTACAAACATGTTAATAGAGTATTAGCCAAACTTAAGAATAGTCTCAATGGGATAATGTAAAAACAACTATCATATGATTTATTTATGGCTTATTTCAAGCTATTATTTCCTAGTGGTGTATTTCATTGGTAAAGGTGTAAATTGTTCTTTTTGACAGTGATTAGTTGGATTAACTTGATATCATCAATGCTAAAGATGGCATCAAATTAAAACATTCACTGAGTTTGATGTTGGGGGACTACAAACTGGATATGTGCATGCTTTATCTATTGCAATCGCTTACTTTCTTTCTTACACAATGTCATCTCTCTCAAAGCTCCAACTCTTATATTTTTAAGTAGCAATAAATTGTTTTTCTAAGAACATTATCTGAATTGTTGTGTTGATTGGATAGTGCATAATTGTCAAGAACTTGGTCATTGTAGGAACCATACAATACAAACCATGATGGCGATCATCGGCTTGAGCTTAGCTTGGGTGTTGTTTAACTTACCATACAAATAGCGATCTGTTTTTTCGCGGAAATGTTGGAACGTTCACAAGTTATCTGAAAAGTATATTGCATTGAATTCTTATCTCAACATGTTTCAACAAGATTTGTGCAATTTACTTTCTTTGAATTATCTCTCATTATAAAACACAAAACTACGTTTTATACATGTATGTCTCTTAATTGCCAATATTTTTGTCAACATATGATGACACGCTGATTCGGGTATGAATGAGATTAAAGAGGACGAGGTAAGCTTTCCAATGGTATGCAGTATATGTGACTAGCAATTTAAGAGGCAATATAAAACATGTTTTTTATCATATGTCTCTGTTAAATCATTACACAAAACAATTTACAAAATGTCGGTCTGGGGAAATATTTTTCGTCGAATATTAAAAGTTTCAATGCGTTACATTTAATTTCCCAGTCCCTGAACATTTAATTGTTTGAAGAAGAAAAGGCTATTCAATGTACACGTATGCGCCTAGGGAAGAGCGGTGTAAGAAGAGCACTTGGGCAAGATCACCGTGCCTATTTATTTATTTTTTTAATGTATGTCGCCTGGTATTACCTCCTGATTGGGGATCAGTATATTGTGTAACCGACCTTTATGCCCATTTGATTTTGCCTCATTTCGAGCCAGATTCAAACGAAAACACCTTTTACCAAAAGTGACCCTTCTTGCCCTCCAGTATTTATGAAAGAATTTCTGAATTTGCAATCCAGAAACTTATTTTAAAGTTTATAGCTTGGTTTTATTATTATTTCATGGTGAAATTAATTTAAACTTGAGAGGGGTTTCTCAAGACAGCCTGGGTCATCACCAGGTCAACATATGTTTCCTGCATGCTTCAACTGTTATGTAAAATTCTTGTGTCTGGCTGTTATCTGCTTATTCTGCTACTGTCCTTGCAGCGGACAACATGTGCTAGTTATAATGCTATATTGCTTGTAATTTTTTGGCTCTTTTTGCCTTGGATAAATAACCAAATAATGGAATTTGAAGACTTCCTGGAGAAGTGGTGCCTATCACCAGACACTATCAAGACACTCAGTGACAATGGATTTACCAACATGATGTCACTAAAAAGTATGGCATTGCCCGATGACCTGAAGGCAATGAAAATCAAGCCAATAGGACAATATAGACTGTTGGAAAAAGGCTTGACCGTCCTGCAAGCTGGACAAGGGCCCGAGACCCCTAACTTCGCTGCAGTCGATGAACAAACGTCCTCATCAGCTGAAGAAACCCCCCAGCAGAGACAGGCAGAGGGTGATCGTTCGTTATCCGAAGTTTTACAGCAACTTGGGATAGGTACGCAGGATAACACAACTCAATCTGCCAGTGCAAGCGCTAACAAAGGTGAGCAATATTTAAAGATAGTAGACTTTGTGCGTCCATCTTTGCGTTCCCTTACAAACAAAGACAAAGTCATGGCCGCTGACGGGGAGACCAGCTTGGTAATGCGCACGTCAAGGAAACCTCGACTCGAATCTGTATCTATCGAACAGTGGGGGCAGGCGAGTAACAGAATTTTGACTCATCTAATATCCACCAAT